TGAGAACCACTCCAATCTTTGTTCTACGACGACACCACATCAGCCCGCCACCATATCAAGATTCACCACCTTGCAGTGAGTTGTGCCGTTGCGCCCGATGAGCCGCTGTCGTTTGTGCAGCAACGGCATGAGCACCGCGTTGGCACCAGCTGCCATGCGAATACTGAAGTCAAGATCTCCACTCAATCGCCGCGGTACTGAAGGACACTTGGGAGATAGTGTACACCGCCAGGCTTGGGATGAGAGAGACTGGAAGGTATCGGTATCACGCCAGGACAGAGAAATGACTCAAAATCCTACCCATAAGGCACCTCCTGCCGACTCTACGGACGGCAGATGATACCTGACATTCTTGTCTCTCGGATCATGACGCCGGTTCCGCGGTCTGAGCTTGAGAAAGGTGCAAGTATCCGAAGAAGCCTTGCTGTCGTTGCATGATATGGATACTAGGGACCAATTACATGGCGCTGGCCGAATGGAAAACGACCTTTCAAAACGGTGGGATATCGCTATATTGGTGAGCAGTGATAAGGTAGTCTGGTGTAATCGCTTACAAACGCTGATGGGGGAGTATTTATGGCGTTGTGCTGATGTTTAGTGGTCTGTAATAAGATGAATAGGGGTGAAGTTCACAAAAGTGGATTGGTTGGCTGTCGTTGCTCGAGCAAGTTTGGTTGCACTTTGCTGCTTCAGCTGTGTTGGGTAAATCGATTGTCGAGACTGTCCCAAAAGGGCAGTATGCCGAACGTCTTAATAGCTTCGTGGCAGCTGAGAATTGAGGACGGCGCGATTTTGTGGCCATGAGTTGGTGATGGGTTGAGTGTCGATTGCTGATGATCGTGGTAGATGAAGGGAAGGGAGGCCACTGATGGATGGGCCGGTGCTGATCGCGGCAAGGCTTCAGAGAACCTCGACAAACTGGAAGATTGCAAAAAAGAGAGCTGCGAGGTAGGATGTGAAAGCAAGACGAGAGGTACTTTTCGGAGATGTTGGGGTGTGCTGTGTCCAGGTTCCCGACCTCAATGTTACAGCCTGGAGACCCTACGGAGAGAGGTCAAGGAAAGGAAAGGCATCGACACGGGATCGCTCTTGCTTTCTTGCTCTGAAGCTACCTCACTCCTTCCAGCAAACTTCTCATTGCCTGGAAAGTGAGGCCTACAACGCACCTTCCTGTGCATCCGCCTAGCTTCTCTCAAGTGACGGAAGGAGCGTTCATCAATGGATGAAAATGCCTTGGCACCTTCCGCTGAGGCAGCCTCGCTCCTTCCCATGCTTGATGGCATCGCCGGCACACCTGGAAGTGAGGCCTTGGACCCACCTTCCCTCTTGAATGTTAGGGCCTTGGGATAATTTCAGATTTATATCTTTAGAGAATCTCAGCACCTCATCTATCACTGTTGCCATTTAGTGTGCAATGCTCAACTGGACCAAATGACCCTGCATTCTTGCCAGGTCATGTAAAAAGAGATGTAACTGGGAGATGGTGGTCAAAACCATAGAGGTCCAGTCAGCTCGAGATTTGATGTCTGTCAAGACAAGGCGAAAAGAACAGACGCTGTCAACGCTTATCCCTGAGAAAATCAAACGCTGTGTGGCGGGCCAGGAGTCGAACCTGGGTCTTCGCTCTAACTCGGGAGTGTAATAACCGCTATACTACCACGCCACGGAAACGCTTTTTGGAAATTGGAACCATATACTGGGGCTGGGTTGAGTCTTGCGAAGTGGGTTTTAGGTTCTGTTGGTGTGGAAAATGGGGCGTGGTGGCGTCGAGATATCCGGGTCATTGTAAACCTTAGATTGGTATGCTCCGAAGAGCCACTCAGCCGCCATGATCTTGAAGAATTTAAAGCAGTCTCTTCTTCACTGACCACAAGACTAGAGAAGATGACGAATTAATGTAAAACTGAGCTCTGTGTGAGTGAGATATCTTCGTAGGGCATGGGGTAATGGCAGGATATCTCTGTGTTTCAACATCCGTCTGTCTTTCCTTCATGCTCGACATCTCACTGTCATGGACCGCGCTCTTGCTCTTTTTTCACAGTTAATTAGTTATTACTCTCGGTATACTAGTTCTTCGACTCTATTTGCCTAATCATCTATCGTCAATCTACCTCTTTCCCTTTTGCAGAACTCCATTACTCCTGATCCCATAATCAGAAACCATAACCTCACCCATCACTCCTGAATCATCACAACCACATAGTACACACTCAATACATCTTCATCCGGCCTCCACTCTCATACCATCTTCATCCGGCCTCCAACCTCATCCAATCCTAACCCATTCCTCCAACATCATCCCATCTTTCACACCATACATAGCCCTCCCTCCCACCTCATAACCCCAAACATTTATTCACATAAGTCATAACCATCATCATAACACCCCCCCCCCCCCCCCCAAAAAAAAAACATTGCATCTTACTCACCACTTACCCCCATCCCAAACCCCTTCCCCTCCCAAGTCTCCCTCGTACTAACCCCCCCCCTCACCCCAAACCTCTCCCCCCCAAACCCAAACCTTGCCAACCCCTTCCTACACTGCCACCGAACCCAATACTCCCAATCCAGCCCCGCAACCCTAGGCACCATCCCGCTCCCAAACAACCCATTCTCCACCACCAGCAAGCTCTCCACCGAATCCAACACCAGCGCCCCCCTCGAGCTCATGAACCCCCCCGCGTTCTGCCCAGCCAGGCAGACATGCCTCACAAGCCTCATATCCGGCGTCAGCCTGATCAAATTCTTCCCAGAGGTTGACGACATGACCTCATTCGACAAACCAATGACGTCGGTCAAAAGATCAACGTAGATCCTCGGCTGGGGGTGTCCACGTGGAGCAAGTCCGAGACGATACCTCTTGAGCGCGGCAAGCCGCGATTCGGAGCAGACAGACAGTAGTACCGGGGGAGGGGTGCTGCAGGTGAAGATGTTGGATTTGGAAGAGGGGTAGGAGGACGAGGTGGTGGCGAAGGGGTATTTCTCCCCTTCACGAGACGAAAAAGATCTACCCCTGGCGAGACGAGTGGTGGTGGTGGTGGTGTCTCTTCTTGGACGGGATGAAAACTTGTGCAGCCAATCGCCTGTGAGGTTGGAGATGTGATTGTTTTGCTTGGGGAGCTGGAGGAGCATGATGCGTGATTTGGGGAGCGCTTCGGCCCAGATTTGCTGTCTGAGTTCGGCGGGGAGGAGGCGGAATTTGGGAAAGGTTGTTGGGGATCCTCTGGGTAGGGGGCGGATGAGGGAGGAGGAGTGGATTGGGATAAGGGAAGAGGAGGGGTGGTTTGGGTTGAGGGTCCAGAGGCGGCGCTCTTCAGAGTGTTCTTGGCAGGCTTCTTGACATAACCGGGCGTAGGACCGGATTCGCTCGCTGAACCAGCCGCAGAGGATGGATACTTTGAGGAAGAGTCGGATCCAGTAGCAGTCGGAGCTGCTGCTGGTGTTGTCCAGCATGGAGGGGTCCCGCTGCTCGGGGAGGGTGGTGGTGGTGGTGATGATTGTGGTGCTGGAGGGGTCAAAGGTGGGTGTCCAGGAGGAGAGGGTGGCGAGGCCGTAGAGGGGGTCCAGCATTTTGGCGGGTAGTGGTGTTGTTGTGGTTGTTACGAGCGGAAGATCACCAAGGGGGGTGATCGATACCGCGGAGGGGACCGTAGTCGATACCGGGCAGAGACTCAGCCTGTAGGACGATGAGGACAAGAGTACAGATGAGCACGATGATGACAAAATTTGTGCTGTTTCTTGGCCAAGGTGGTGGTCTATCATATACCCGGAAAGTAATCAGTCCGCACCATGGTCGAATGTCTGTCAGTACCAGCTTGACAAGCACGGCTGCCCCTTTTGTAATTCCTGCGAAACCTCCGCTCGTGGGAGCAGGGAGTCCAAAGCTATTTCCTTGCGCTGTGATAGTCAGTGCCCATGCAGGTGAACTCCATCAACCACGTGGATGGCCGCCGCTATCGTGTGCTACTGTACTCCAGAATCTGGAGAAGATGGTTTCTTTGCTCGTTCACAGTTTCAAAAGCTGGGTAGAGGCGCGCTAGAGGGATCAAACAGGCGCCGTTGAAGGACCATTGGGTCTGGGCCGAGTGATGCATAAGGTTTGATGGCACGAGCGGACGTCTTGAGGCAGGCTGGGAAAGCTAGAGAGAGAATTGGGTGTACTGTATGTGAGTACCTCGGCCGTGATATCTTGTCGGACATCGGGAGATTGCCTGATTCCGACATAGAAGAAGGGGCATCGCCGGAAATCTGGCAGATTGCTTGCGTAGGCAGTGCTCGAGTGTGGCCCAAGTGTATATCGCACGACCCTAATGCGAGTGCTGGTGAATCCAAGGGCCTGGTTGGACTAAGTATGCAAACCCCAAACCCAGACCTAGCACATCTCGATCTCGAAGAGATACTTGTTCGATTTCCCTGAGCTGCTTGTTGCGAGGTCTGTCGAGGCATCCATAAAGACTTTTGGACCTCGAGTTGCACCAAAGCAGAGAGCTGGGCGAAGTGCTCATTTGAGTTATTGACTTTCTGATATCTGGCTTGAAAAGTTCAACATACTGATGATCAAGAATCTCTTCCACTCAGAGTCCTAGTTTGCCATCTGCGAAATCGAAGATTTTCTTAAGGGCAGCCCCACGACATTGCCTGTGTGTTATAATCCACCGAAGCACATCAGGAAAAGTTACACAAAGACCGAAAGCTGCATTGGCTTGGGAAGCTGCAGCTGTTCCTTGCATTCGCATGTATGCAAGGGCTTCTGATAAAACTTCATTGCATTCCTCTCTCTCTCGTGTGACTGCTACTACATCTCATCCACCACGCGATGTTGATTCGGGAACATTTAGGGCGGCATGAATGAGGAAACGTTGTTTCTCGAATGCCGACAGCGAGTCCTCGGTGGTAATGTTGGATATCATGGCTTGCTCGTGAGCTTTCGGTAAAGAGCCCAATCCTTTGGATAAGATCGAGGTGTGGTGTGGTGATATGCTGTGGCATAATCTCAGACCTCACCACACGTCGGTTGGGTCAACCTCATGCTTCTCCCCATCAGCCCTGATGTGCTCTTTCTTGACATCTCTCTTCAATGGTTTTCGCATATCGTAGGCATCCTCGCTGTCCTGAGTGGGGTCGGTTGAATGGTCGCCATAGTACTCCTTGACCACCCTGAAAATACTGTAGCCCATGCTTTCATAGAATTTGATGGCCTTGCAGTTTGTCTTGCGCACAAACAAGTCGACGAACCAGGCGTTTCCGGCATCACCAGCGGCCTCGAGCTGCTCTGTGAGGAGCTTGCCAATACCAAGTCGGCGAGCCTCAGGGGCCACGGTGACGGCTGTGATGTGGGCGTGCCAAGGAAGATAATGCTCTGAGAATTTGTAGACGTCAGGAGACGACTCGAGCTTTCCCATTACTAAGCATTTTTTCAGTATCAAGTCAGATTCAAACTGTGTACGCGGTCCAACTCACTGTATCCGATAATGTTTCCATTCTCGTCTTCAGCAACCTGGAAGAGTGATGGCCATTTTGCGTAATACTGAAGATAGAAGGACAGTTCATATGTCTCTGTGAGAGGATCCAGGTTGCATTTTGATAGCTTGTTCAGGTCATCAGGCCTGAACCGGCGAAAGTTGGCCATGACTGTCGAGGTTTGTGAAATTTGAGCTTCGATAGATGGTGGGGAGCTTTGATGTTGAAGGCGTCAAAGTTGACAATAGCTGGGCAGTTTACAATCCAACGTTCAGTGACCTACTAACAGTATTCTGCGTGACTTACCTGGAACTCTGTTAGGCCAGCTGAACGCCCAAAGGGGAAAATAACGACTTTTGATTGGCTGTTGGGGCTGTCCTGCAGCATCCCGTAACACCCGCACGCACTGTGGCACAAGCCCCTAGCGACGTCTTGTCAGGTACCTACCTCGCCTGAGTCAAAGGAGAGACTGATGAAACTTAAGCTTGGCTGCTGCTATCATCGACTTCATTTCAAGCACTTTGGTTTCTGATATCGCAATTGTTACCGCTTCAGCATCCAGGGTATCCCTCCTGCACCCACAAAAAAATGCCCAAGCAAAAACCAATGCCGGAGCCCGTTTCTTGCTAGAGATAGAGTACCTTGGTTCTTAACACTCACACCGCTGATATCAGGCTCACCAAGATAGCGATTACGTACCGGTCTCGGACCACCGACATCCTACAATCCCACGAACCCCCGGCACCCTTCCCCTCGTCAGCACTCGGCCGACGGCAGACAGAACCAAAATTTATGCGACCTTTCTGAGAAGCAGATTTGGACGTGAAGCAGCTACGAGGAGTTCATGCGAAGCTCCTCTCATCAGCTGTCCCTTGACAAAACGCCGAACACCTGACCTCCATAGGTATTAAGCACTACTTTTTGCCCAACGACGAGTCCACCGAACACCCTACTGGGCCCGCACGACCCCAACTATAGACCACGCATTTTGATATAGCCTCCTTTGTGTCATCCTCCCGGCTTTTCCTTCCAGCAGTCGGACCGCGCCCTTTGAGGCCTTCTTCCTGTCACTGTTGAGCCCCCCCCTTTCCGACTTCCTCGTCTCGCCACCCTGGCTGCGGGGCCAAGCCCTCGCTCGCCACGTCTGCCAGCCCCCGCCCCAGACCGACATTACGATCAGCTTCACCCTGCTCGGTCATAACCGCAACTCCAGACTCCCAAAGCGCGCAATCTCGCGCGCAGATAGTCTTCCAAAATGGCGTCGTACACACCGCGCCATTCCCGGCATCCATCTCTCGATCTCAGCCAAACCACTTCGTACTCTCCCTCCCGCGAGCGCCGCCAGTCCAAAGCCTCCTCCTTCGCCGACCGCCCCGGGACACCCCTCCGCAACGGTTTCGCCTCGTCTGATATGGATTTGGGAATGATGAACGGTGATGGCGGCGGCAACGGCCTTGGCAACCTGGCCGACGAGTTGGCCGGGCTTGACGATGACTACGATGACTATGACGACTACGATGAGGATGTCCCGGAGGGAGAGTACGACGACGACAACGAGCTACAGAAAAGCCAGATAACCACCCGCGGAAACAGTCCACACAAAACACCGGGAACTAATTTCGAGGATACGGATGACACAGACCTGGACCAGAAAGGTGGCCAGCAGGTGCGGGATAGCGGTGTCGATGTAGAGCACAGCCCATCACGAGGAAGCAGTCTCCCACACAGGTTGAGGAATAACAGTCTGGGCGTACCCTCGCCCAGTGGGAAGCACGGGCACAGGAGAAAAGGCAGCGCATATGACGGCAGTGAATATGGCAGCGAGAGCGACCTCGACAATGGCGGGATGCCACCACGCTTAATAGAGAAAATGGATGAGGTGGAAAGTCTGGCGAGACGGGGGACAGAGAAGACGGGAGGGCCGTTGGATGGGACATTTCAGAGGGTTACTGAAGGGCTGCGGGATTTGGGCAGTCAAGCGGGTGTGGAGGGTGGTGCCACTAGGTATTTTCTTCCCAATCATCCTCCGACCTGGATATTTTCAAACGCTAACAATGCTCTTTTTCACCAGGTTAATAACCGCCCACTCGGCCGTGACAACTCACCTGAGCCATCAAAACAGACAAATGCACAACCTCTCCTTCCCGCTCTTGTCGCCCCTGGTAGCACCACCAGATCCGGAGGCTATCGAAGAGCTGTTGCCGATGCTCATCAGTCTTTCGGAACTCATGCCCCGGCCTTCGACAACCGCTCTCCAGTCATTATCCTCGCTTCACAGCCTGACGACGGATCTGGTGAATACGCTCAACTATCTGAGCGACACGATTCACATGTCAAGGCAAACCACCAATATTGCCACAAGAAGGTTAAAGTCGGCAAAAGATCTCGTGGCGGAGATCAAGCATGATGAGGAGCTGAGAGAGGAAGGGGAGAGGTGGCTAGCAAAGGGGAAGTGGGGTGAGAGATTAGAGCGAAGGGAATGTGCGAATGTGTGTGGTGAAGTAGTGGGCGGGTTTGAGAAGGTATGTGAAGGCTGGAGGGAGAGGCTGGTGGAGTTGGCCAGAGCAGAAGAGATGGGCCAAGCTTAAATTTGAGGCAAGATTCTGACATGTCTGCGGTGTTGTTGTGTTTGTTTGAGGGAAGACATTTCGCGAGAGAGGGAGGGGAGGGTTGGTTTGGATTTTATGCATATATTGGTTTGGTTGGGTTTTGGTTTGGCTGGGTGGGTGGGTAGGTTGGTTGGTTGGTTGGTTCATGGCGGCAAGTACTTAGACAGATATCGGATTCCCACAAGTGGACATTACATACTTATATATACAGGAGACAAAAACGTATTTACGTACCCTTTTTGCTACGGGGTCTTTCTCTCCAAAGTCGATGTTAGACCCGTGAAACCATGACGGGAGAATTCTTTTGTTCGAGAACAACTATTCCAAGCACATCCAACCTCGTACACAAGGATCCAATGTTTTTTCTCGTACCAAAATGGGTATCATCATCTTTCCTTTTTCCCTAAATCAACCCAGCTTTTCTAACCCAGCCCTTCTTCTCGAGTTGCCGCACTACAACATCCCTTCCCCCTCAAACAACCCAGCAAGGCTCTCCCCAAAGTGCACCCTCCTAACCGCCTCCCCAAACACGCTGCTCACATCCAGCACCTCAACCTTGCCACACCTCCTCAAATGCGCCGTCTGGTCAACCGTGTTGGTCACCACCACCTTGTCGAGGGCGCTACTCTCGATCCGCTCCAGCGCATCCCCCGAGAAAACCCCATGCGTAACCACAGCCACCACCCTCTCGGCCCCCTCCCGTTTCAACAGCTTGGCCGCTCTGGTGATGGTATTCCCCGTGTCAACCAAATCATCAATCAACAAGCACGTCCGTCCTTTTACCTCCCCCACAAGCATCATCGTCGCTTTGGCGCTATTCTTCCCGGGAATGAACTTGGGGTGTCGCCTCTCTTTGTGGATCAGGGCGAATGGGAGGTTCAACACGTCTGCGATGGCGGTGGCACGCTTTGCCCCGCCTGCGTCGGGGGAGATGATTGTTACGGAATTGGTGGTGGGGAGGATGTGTTGGGAGATGTATTTGCACAAAAAGGGGCGGGCGTGGAGGTTGTCGACGGGGATGTCGAAGAAGCCTTGGTAGGTTTGCTCGTGGAGGTCGCAGGTTAAGATGCGGTCTGCGCCTGAGCAGGTTAGGAGGTCGGCGACCAGGGAGCCGGATTGGGCCATCCATTGTTTGTAGTTTGGTTTGGGGGGGTGGAGGGAGAGCATGAGGGAGGGGTTTTCGTAGTCGTGGGTTGTAAATTGCCCCGGGGGAGGTGGTGGGAAGGTGTTGTTGTTGTTGTTGTTGTTGTTGCCTGTTCCGTAGGTGATGAGTTGTAAAGGGGGGCCCTGGATTCCGGAGGGGGCGCCGCCTCGGTATCCCACTCCTCCGGTGTTGTTATTGCTGTTGGTTACTCGACCGACGACATCGGTCATGTCTAACCCTTTGCTGCCCAACCCTGCTGTGCGAGCTATATTTGGGTGGGGGGTGACGGGGACGCTTTCAAAGGTGTACGCTCCTGCTTTCCCAGATCCCGCTTTTCCCTCGCCGTCTACCACCATTCCTTTATCCCCACGAAGCGGTGCCCCTGCCTTGGAGAAAGCCAGGTCGGGCTGTCGACTGTATGGAAACAGTGGCAACACAGCTGTTACCCTCATTGCGCTCCCGCCTTTGCACGCCGCGATCATGATGCAGACTTCCATGAGGTAGTCATTGACTTTGTAGTTTGGATCCTCCCCCACGCCAAACGATTGGATGATGTAGACGTCTTTCCCTCGGACGGAGTCTTGGATTTCGCAGCGGGACTCGCCAGAGGAGAACTTGCAGAGGATGCGCTCGGAGGGGGAGATGGAGAGGTAGTTGCAGATGGAGAGGGCGAGGGAGGGGTGGGAGTTGCCTGAGAGGATGGAGATGTTGCGGACCATGTTGGAGGAGGTTTTCCGTGTCATGTAAGAAGGTAGGTAGTGTTGTTGGTTCTGGAGGTGAGAAAGGGCGATGATGGGAGCTAGCTCATTTCTTTGTCAAGGTGAAGCTCAAACACGGCGGCGGCGACGATGTCAGGGGTTGATATGTGGTGTAAAGTGTGATCTGACAATTGGGCACCCACGACAACACCCTCTTCTTCCGCTTGTTGGTATTGTCCCTTCCTCACACCGAATACTGTAGCTTTGTGTCCTTTGGGGTAGAACAATCTGCTTGGCAGGAACCTGATGTTCCGTTCGTTGCTGCGGTGGTTATCGTCAAAGGGTACAGGTAGGTGGTCGAATATAAAGGGTCCAAAAGATCCCGTCCTGTGCCGTCTTGTCAATGTCGTACAAACACCACCACGGATATGTCCCCCCGGAAGATATAAAACTGTGACCGTGACACAAAAACTGCTTGTCAATTCGTCGGTCGTGTGACCGGAATGGGGATTCGTCCTCTGCATATAACTGTCTAGCAGCCCAAAAACCACCGTCCAATGTTCTTTAAAGAATTTAACCCGCGTCTGGCCGAATGTCCTTCTCTCTCTTATGGATGGAATTGTCGATAGCGGAATCCGGCACATTCTGTAGCTCTCCCGCTGCGAGATTCCCGAGCCGTAGATCTTATATATATCCATCTACCTATCTGACCCCTCTTACATACTACTATCTTCTTCAGTTTTCCCCAAAAACTTGAAACCAAACCTTTCCATCCACACTCACCGAAGAATTATCCCATCCCATCCCAGTAGCTATCCAAAATTCCCTTATCCGCCGCCTCCCACCCAGTGACGTCATACCAGCCCTTCCGCAATCAGACAGCTCCTAGACACAAGAGGTCCCAACACCAATGAATGGCTGCGACAGCCACACGTGTATCTGACCTCACGAACCTTTCCAAAGAGATAGACAACAATAGTGACAGTGTCCCCGGATTAAACAAATGGTCTCGTGATCAACTTGTCGAAAACAGCAACAAGTGACACATCAAAATGCTGTGACACCCCCGCGCCTGTCTTGAAAAGAGAGGCATCACGCGACCCATGTTTTGGTATTCCTTCAATTTGCTAACGAGGTTGGCGATGATCACTCGTGTGCTCGATTCAATGGACAGAAACCATTGGCACGTGTTGACAGTATTCAAAGCGACTTTCAATCACCGAAAACAACATCTCATGAGGGCAGCAGAATTGCAGACCTATCCACCATTTTAAATCATCAAATATCAAGCGATCAAACAAACCGCCCAAGACTCCTCCTCTCTCAAACCACAACCTTCTCTCAAACCACAACCTTCTCCCAAACCATAACCTTCTCCCAAAACATTTCTTCCCCATCCCACAGCCTCTCAGACCATGAAAACAGTGAAAAAATTGGTAGCGTCTCTTTGAGTAGCGTGTCATCCTTAGTGCAGGGGCCATGCTAATCTTCTCTGTATCGTTTCAAATTGACCAAATGCCCCGAAGGGCGAGGAAGGAAAAGAAGAAACCGATCAAATTCTGGCAGGCAAGTCAACAATTTATAGGCTGCCAGAAGGCATCCCGGGTGGCCTGTGCACGCTTGCAAATCCCCCACTGAATGCAAATCGTCTGTGCGTCACCACCGCCACTACGAAGATCAGGACAGCGTGGCTGGTGAGCAGCCGGATTGTTGCCACTTGCCACCTCCTTTTTGACTCATCAGGAGGAACGGCCTTCAAACAACATACACAGTGACACCTCAAAGTACAAACACATATGCAAAGTCTGACAAGAAAGTTGGGACAAAATCTATTGTCTTATCAAAGAGTTCATCTATAACCGATCAAAACGAAGCGAAAAGCAATGTCAAAATCAACCCCCTTTTGTTATCATTGTTCTTCCTCTCTGAACGCAGCGCTGTTGTGGTAGGCTGCAAGCAGCCAACAAAAAAAGTGAAAATCCACCCTCTTGATGAAAAAATCTCAATCCCATTACTCAACTATCTCGTAACTTCCAAGTTACAAGTCCAAAAGAGCCTTGGCACCGGGCTCACTGCACACGTAGATGACGTCGTGCTCGTTGGAAAAGCCGTTGAAAGTGGTGGCGGAGCATTTGGTGTAGGCACCCATGTCCTCAAAGTAGAGCCAGTCACCAACGTCCAGGACAACAGGGAAGCGGATGCTCTCGGTGATGCGATCGATGCCGTCGCAGGTCGGGCCCCAGATGCTGTACTCCACTCCGCTGCGGTCGTCCATACCGTTGGCGGCGGGGGTGTCATACAGAGTCTGGCCGCCGGCGCGGAGCACCTTGGCCTCGGGGTGCTGGTGATCAAACATGATGCTGCTGAAGTTGCCATACAGACCATCGTTGACATATAGCATGTAGCTGGGGTCGGGAGTCGTGGTGCCGTTGTTAATCAAGGCGGTGTCCTGGATGGTGCGGCGGGCAATGACGTTGCAGGCCAAAGTGTAGGCAGCCGAGGCGTAGAAACGGCCGGGCTCAGCAATCAAGTTGATACCGCTGTGAGCGGGGAAGTACTCGTCGAGAGCTTCACGGAGAACACCAGCCATCTGCTCAAAGGTGTTGTCGGCGCAGAAGCCACCGCCGACGTCCAGAGTCTTGAGCGAAAAGCCATAAGAGGCAGCCTGCTGAAAGACCATGTGAGAGTCACGGACGGCCTTCAAGAAAGCGCTGGGGTCCGAAGCGCCAGAGCCAACGTGGAAGCTGACACCCACGACGTTAAGGTTCAAGTCGCGGGCCAAGGCCAAAAGACCATCAGTCGAGTCGAGCGAGGCGCCAAACTTCATGCTGAGGCGGCAAAGGGACGACGTGTCGTCGGTAAGGATGCGCAGATAAAGCTCGGCCTCGGGGTAGAAGCGGGCAATCTTGCGAAGCTCGTCGGCATTGTCAAAGGTCATGGCACGCACGCCCTGCTGGGCAACGTAGCGCACATACGAGTTGGTCTTGCAGGGCTGAGCATAGATGATGCGGGAGGGGTCAACTCCCATGCGGAGGACCTGCTCAATCTCGGCCTTGGAGGCGCAATCGAAGCCATTGCCAAGGGCAGCCAGCAACTTGAGGAGCATAGGGTCCGGGTTGCACTTGACGGCTATTGCGTATGTTAGCGTCCTGTTTTTCTCTCATCTTCTCCATGACAAACCACTTACCATAGAAGGGCTTGACGCGAGGCAAGTTCATCTTCCAGCGGAGGTGCTGGCGGTAGACCTCACCGAGGTCGGCCACAAAGAAGGTGTCCTCCTCTCCGGGCTCGCAGTCCTCGTGGTCAATGCTCTCCACGCGCTGGCGGAGGGCATTGCCAATCAGCTCCTTGGCGGTAGGACCCTCATGGTGGTGGTGGTGTTCACCTAAATGGTGATGATTGTGTTGCTCAAAGTAGCCATTGTTGCAGCTCTTTAAAAAGACATGATTATTCGTTAATTCCGTATAATCGAGTGATACGAAGCGATCGGCGAGCAAAGTTGGCATAACCATATCCGGGATCGTAACGGGGGTGAGCGGTCGAGAAGAATTAGGTGGTGGGTAGCGGCGGCGGGTGGGTAGAATATTAGAGATGTTCTCGTGATCTCGAGCGTGGGTGGGTGATGAGCTCTATATCGAGTTTATCGAAAGCTCAGAATATGTTTTTTGGGTAGTAGATAAAAAGCGATGTGATAGCACGGGGTGCTCAAGCGAGTATTAGGGAGGTCGGTGTGGGTAGCAGACTGGTCCCTCAAAGGTCTGACGAGGCTTCGTCGACTCTTCCTCCGTCAGAGGAAGAACCGCACAACTCGTCCTATGCGGCAGCTGGTTGTTGTTGGTATCGTGGGGGGCTTGGTTGAACAAGGAGTCGAACAGGGAGAGCTCGAGTTCCTTACGCGACTTCAGCAGGGGGTGGCAGGGAGTTGATGATGTGAAAGGTTTGTCGAAGGCTGAAATCTTGGTCTGAGACAAAGTCTACGGCCAAGGAAGCCGTATTGAGCTTGGGTGCCTTTGAGAAGACCAAAGGCAGTCAGGCGTAGCGATGGATATCGCTAGCTGTTTCTGTGAGGCAGGATGCGCGTCAGCATGTGAGAAAACTCCTACGGATATAAACAATCAACAGCGAGCAACCCCGCTGGAAGCTCTTCAGAAAGCCATCCATCCCAGGTCTGAGACATAACGCATGCCACGAGGCCGAGTGGGTGGGATAGAGCCCAACCCAGCACGGTCGCTTGCGGTCATTGTCACGAGCGGGAGCTCCCAGCGGTCGTGCGCCGATATCTATCCGCATAGCCGCGGCGAGGAGGTGAAAAATTTGCACTTACTTGGGAGGTGATGGGTGCGCGAACGCAGTAAGTGCAGGAGTTGTCCAGTGTAGCAATTGATGCCAAGGTCGATGATGTGTTGAGGAAGGAGGACAGTTGGCAAAGGGAAAATCGTGGGAAAGGGGAAGAGGTTCAAGGACGGGGGTGGAAGGTTTGGAAGCCGGCGTTGAGCTTCTTAATAATGGAGGGGCGCAGAGTGGGCGGGAGGCAGGTGCTTTGGTGGGGCATTTTCGATGGATGGCTGTGCCTCGATCCTTGATTTGGATTTGGCAGAGCCCACAACAAAAAAAAAACTCCAAAGAGGGCACCGCCTTTTTTTCCACCGGTCCCAGATATTTCGAGACACCGCCTACAGATGACAGATGGTGTCTACAGAAACCCTAAGGACCCTCGGCAACCATCTTCCTGTGACCTACCTAGACAAACTCACCTGCCGTCTTTGGCAAAACATCATATCGCACCTGAGGTGGCCGCGCAATTCCATCAACTTCCCTTCAAGTGTCCCCGCGGCAAAGATGCCATGCTCTGCTGTACTACAGCAGCATACCTAGCTACCTATCTACAATGCGAGGCCAGGCCGCCGTCCGGTGTTGCTGACGCTCGTTATGCCGGATATCTGGCCGAGGCCGCCGTCTCCTGGCCCAGTGCAATCACAACTCATGAGATGGTGGGTGGTCTCCTAGCCCGGTGGCGTGCCATCACTCGATCCGCAACTTGCGGTCAGCGAGCCAGTTTCGATGCCCAAGTTCCATCCCTTCTCCGCTCGTTAGCGGACGCTTATGGTGTTATGCGGGCCCATTGCACCGTTGGTCACGTTCCAGCATGCAACCCATCGCCGATATCTTTTCGTTCTGTATCGAGAGAGTCCATGGCCGGGGAAAGAGGAGAGAGTAGGAGCACACTGGAGCCGGTAAAAATCCCGCACCATCAATCAGCCTGCTTTTGCTCTCTCTGGCATTCCATTGTCTTTGCATCCGGCGGCTATCTTGGCTAAGGAGTGACTGAAGATTTTAGGTACAGCATTCTCCCACGAGCAACTTTTCTCACCCACCCCAAGGTTTTGATACCAGCAGCCCACAGCCATCCCATGTAGATCTGGCCAATGTCGTCGACGAGCTGCACGTATCCTCTTGGCACACTTACTTCTGGTTCCCCGCAGGAAAGGACTCAGACCCTTCATTGGTCTTGCCGACTGTCCCTGTGCCGATATGCTCCCCCCGTGCAGCCAACTGGAAGCCAACGGGAGACGACCAATGCATTTGACTCATGTGAAAGAAAAAAAAAAGATAAACAGCCACTCGGAGCTGAGCCGCATTTGAACCACCCACTTGAGAAACGTAGCAACCACAGACAGGTACCTGCGTGAACGTGACGTAGGCGGGGCAAGAAAAAAAAGTAACCACAAGAGTCAGGGGCAACTTCAAACCTCAAAATGAAAAATATTAAAATGTACTCTGTTCTTTAGTCCGCAAGTCCAAAGCTGTGGAAGGCGGTTCTGAAAGAACGAGCTCGCGGCGCCAGGTCTTACTCTGGTCCTTTGATCTTGCGTTGGTTTGTGGCCTCATAGCTATTGCGTGAAGCAGTGAGGAGTATCGTATCTAAACGCGTGTGTATGGTAGGTAGGGTAGGAGAAAATAAATGAAATGGAAGCATGAGAAAATGCTAGAGAAGGCTGATGAACACAAGTCATCAGGCACAGGACCTAGAAAATGTCGCAAATGATTCATGTACACCAGCTGGCTATCAGAGAAGGGTATCATCGTTCATGTTGTACAGTAAAAATACAAACTGCAGGCCGTCGAAAACTGCTTAAGCAGACCCGCCAATGTCCATCTCGTTGACGGTCCAAGAGTCATCGACAAAGTCCCGCTTCTCACCAAGGAAGACAAGCCGCTCAGCTTGCTTCTCGAGCGCGCCAACAATATACTTCTGAGCCACCTCGCGCACTTGATCCTTGGAGACATCGAGAAGCTGCTCGCGCCTCTTCTGCTTCATCTCTTCGGTGATTCCGTACAGGAAGTTGCTCATGCCCTCCTCGTTGACAGCCCGGGGCGCATCGACGCCTTGGAAGATGGAAATCTTGGCGTCCTCCAGGTCCCGGTCTGACCACTTCTTGTCAACAGCCCATTGTCCGGCACTGCGCATGATGTTGATCGTGTTGACCGGGTTGGGGTCGCGGTACGAGTAAAAGCCAAAGATGCCGTCCAGGGCTCGGGAATATGCACCGCCACCGTAGGCGCCTCCCTTTTCGCGAATCTCGTGATGCAGATGCTTGTGAGTCAAGAGCGACGAGAGCACCTGGAGCGGAGCATTGTCAGGCGATGTGTAGGAGACTGTCGGCAGAGCGAGCGCGCCATAGTAAACCTGATATGGCAGGGGGTAGAACGATTTGATGTTTCTCGCAAACTGGGTCGCTAGCCTGGCGGGGAAAGTGGCAGGCTTTTGGGGCACTGAACCCAGGAACTTGGACAGAGCGGCAGTGTTGTTGCTGACGCTTTCAGTATCACAAGTGATCGAAGCCCGAATGTTCCCTGCAAGAGCAAACTGCTGGATCTGCTTCAACTTGTCGATCACATCGACGAGCTGGTCCGATTCAGGCCGACTTGCCAGGCTCGTTATCAACTTGACTTGCGACAAACCGCTGACCTGCTCCCGAATGAAAGCATCCCACGACAAGCCCGCTTCAGCTGCTCTGCGGGCATAGGCATGACCAGAAGAGGCAATGTCGTTGACAACGCCATCAGCACCAGCCTGGAGAAGCTGCCGGATCTGCGGGGCGGCGTCTGGGCTGTCAAAGTTGGTCTCGACAATCAGCTTGCGAAGCAGATCAAACATGACGGGAACATTTCTGTCCAGGGCCATGCCTGTGAAAATAAGACCCTCGCTCGCCTGCTTGAAGTCCAACGGGTTCGAGGCTGTGTGATAGCCCACCGACACGCCGCCAGTCTTCAACTTCATCAGATCCTCCAACTGCTCCATTGTCATGTCCTTGGTACCAAGACGCATGATAGAGTCAGTAAAGAGAGGAATAAGCTGTCGAAGCTCATCTGGCAGGTTCTCCAACGTGTTGATCGCCCGGAAGTATGTAAGGCCGTTTGTGGGCGCTTCCCGCAACTGAAGTTTGACCTTCTCGACAGTCTCGTTCCTGAGCCCAACAGGCTCTTTCGATCGTGGAATGTCCTTGACATATACGCTTGGGAGGCAGCTGAGATCTTCAGTGTTGGACTTTCCTTGCTCAGCCAGCAAAGCCAACTCCTGTGTTTCAAACGCCTTCTGGGCCTGCTCTTCGCCACCGGCAGACTCGACGGCCTGGGCGATCTTGCCCTTCAGCCTGAATTCCTCCTCCTTGGCGAGTTCCTGGGCAAACACGGGAGATGGGGCCATGGTGAATGTGAGAGTGTTGTCATTCAACAGGTACTTTTTCATCAAGCCCTCAAGGTAACCGCCCTTGGCGTAACGCTCCTCAAAGGCAGCGAGGGTGTCATTCCAAGACAACGAATCAAAAGGGTCGACTCCCGTAAACCACTTGGGCTTGAGACGGTGCAGGAGAGACATGCCAAAATTAGCTGTCTTGTGCTTCAGACCCAATTCCAGCTGGTGCAGGTAGCCATCAATCTTGGACCGCTCAAAGCCCTTATCCCGCATTTGACGGAGGATATCCTGCACGGCCGTCTTGAGCTTGGGAACATCGGCTTCCTGGACACCAGTCAGACCGATAGAGAAGATTCCAACCTTGGCCGAACTGTCGTAACCGGTGTTGGGACTCCAATCGGTGCCGAGGCCACTCTCAATGAGCCCCTTGTAAAGCGGCGAGCCATAGCCATCCGTGAGCAGCGCCGAGATCAAGGAGAGAGAGAAGGACTCTACTACATCGGAAGTGTCGCCGAGGACCCAAGAAACAGAAGTCTTGAATTGCTTGCTGGGGTCCACCAGGGGGTCAATGGGTCCATAGAGCTTGACTTCTCTTGGGCCGGAGCTCAGGTCGATAGGCCTGTGGTTGGCCAAATCACCTCTGATAGCCTCAAAAGCACCAAGCTGAGCGTCAACCTCCCGCAAGTGATCTGCCAGAGGCATATCACCATATGTGAAGATCTTGGCATTGCTCGGGTGGTAGTGCTCAGCATGGAACTGCTTGAGTTGCTCATACGTCAGGTCGGTGATTTTTTGAGGATCACCACCCGAATTGTTGATATCCGGGAAGATGTGGTCCTGGAAGCGGATGTAGAACAGATAACCAGCATCAGACATCTGGCCCTTCATCTCGTTATACACGACACCCTTGAACACAAGCTTCTTATCCTCAGGCTTAGCTTGCGCCTCACCCGAAGCCAGAGCCTGGGGGTTCTCCGGTCCAATGCGCCACCCTTCCTGGGTAAAGTCGGACTTCTTGAGCAAAGGGCGCAGTGTGGCATCTAGGTAAACCGACATGAGGTTCTTGTAATCCTGGGCGTTGGTCGTGGCGAAGGGGTAGAATGTGTGGTCCGAGGCCGTAAAAGCGTTCATGAAGTTGGAGAGGGTGCGTGGGAGCATCTTAAAGAATGGGTCACGAATGGGATATCTTTACCCAGTTAGCCTAGCTCCAGCAAGATAGATGTTGAATAGAGTGGCCAGCTACACACTTTTCACTACCACAGAGCGTGGTGTGCTCCAGGATATGCGGGACACCGGTGTCATCCGGTGGGTTGGTCTTGAAACCGATTGAGAAGACATTGTTGCTGTCGTCTCGCGCAATATGGAGATGTTCGGCACCCGTCTTGTCGTGCCGCAGGTGCAGTGCCGTCAGTTCCAGCTCTGGCACATGCTTCGTCCGCAAAAGTGTGAAGCCGTGAAGTTTCTCGCCGATCTTGGGAAGCTGCGAGAGCTCCGTGGCAGCCTTTGCGCTGCGTTTGACCGTGTTGCGAAGCATGCTTCCAGGTTGCTACAGTCGTCGTTCGATATTATGAGGCGGATGCAGCGGACCGGCCGGGTTTTCCAGCTCAGGTAGGTGTGAAGCTGTGCGTTGACAGCAGACCTGCGGCTGTCCTGGAGTCGGGATTTGGGGGTTGTCGTCGATGTGATCGACTTGATGGAATCAAATGGTTCAATGATGGAAATTCAGAAATTGAACCATCCCGTTGGGCGTGGCGCGTTGGAAGATTGTTAGCAAGGAACAGTAGTTACTACTGCAGTTTGGGAGATGGGAGAGGTACTAGTATATCGCGCAACGGCCCGACTCGCAACACGTGGGACCGCTGAGTCGGGCGGGTTAACGTACCGAGTTACAGCGAGGCAGGCGAGGCACAGCGAGGACGAGCTCCACTGTTCCAGGTTTGCCAGCCTGAAGAGTGAGGCTTGTTCGGGGCAGAACCTGGGGACTAATGCAATTGCGACGACATCCAATTCTGGAGCCACGCAGGAGCAATCTCTGCATTCAACCACGCCGAGCGAGCAATATCACCATCCCCAAACCTGACGCTGCCCGGATCGCACGAGAGCACACGACACCCCCCCACGGCACCTGGAAGTCTCAGTGAATTATAGAGGAGGCTATAGAGCAGGCAAACAATAGCCACCACCGCCCGTGCACGGCGGGACGCATGCAATTTGTGTGACCAGGCGAGCGTCTTCTGTTTGAATTAACCGACACATCGACACTTTCGCTTCCTCCTCGACGACAAGCCTCCGCGTCACCCTCGTATATCCGTCTTGCTCCCGGTTTTAGGACTTTTGGAATAGCATCAGGTCGAATTCCCGGTTGCGAGTAGCAACAGCCACAAGTTTGCTGGCTTGGGATTGCCGTAGCCCCGCATCGCATCGTTCTGCCTGCCCAGCCAACCCTAACGCACTCTGAGATCTGTGAGCATCATGTCGAACGCCAGCCCCCTCGTGGCCTCACCTGCCGCGACGGCTCCCCGACCAGCTACACCGGCAGCCAACGGAGTTCCGAGTCAACCGCCGCCTGCCGATACCGTCCCCGTCGCGAATGGCCATGCTGCCCACACGCACGAGAACCGGCCCGCCCCCGCCCCGCCTTCGGCCGCTGCCATGACGGGGAAGAAGGGGAAGCAGAAGAAGCCGGAGCCGACCGAGGCCTCGAAGCTCATCGCCCAGCGCATTTCCCAGCTCGAACTCGACGCCGCAGGAGAAAAGGATCAGGAGGCCGAGATTGGTGGGTGTTCACCCTGTTTTCTGTGTGTCTGATGGGGAGGTTTCGCTGGTCGCCACGTTGTCGGGGAAAAAGGCATTTTTTGGGGTTCCTCTTTGCACAAACCTCACACCCAGGACTACGGGACCACGAAACACAAGCCAGTTATGACTGGAATATGGGCTGACAGAGATCGTACGCAGAACGGGAAGTCAAGAAGGCCAACAGGGAGTTACACACCCAGACCTCTCGGATGAACGACTTGCAAAAGATTGATCATCTGACGAAGCGATGTTCGGATCTTCTGGCTGAGATGAAACGCCACGAGCGAGAAAGCATCAAGAACAAGAAGCGCGGCGACCAGCTCCAGAAGGATAAGGACAACACCCGTACCGAGTTAAACAAGACCACGTCCCTGAAGGAGAAGCTAGAGAAACTCTGCCGGGAACTTCAAAAAGAGAACAACAAGCTTAAGGTTTGTATACGGCTGTTTCGGTCTGGCAGGACTGAGGGCACTTTGTGCTGACTTGTCTGCAGAATGAGAATAAAACACTCAGCGATACCCAAATCCGCAGCCAACAGACATGGGACGAAAGGTATTCTGGGTTGCTCCGCAGGATGGATGACCAGCAGGAGGAGAAGGACAATCCGCGCAAACAAGTGGTCGACATGAATACGGAAAAGTTGTATGTGCGAACCTTTGCTCGTGGTTTTTGAGCTCATCGTTGCTTACAAGCGTAGTTTCCGAGATCGCTTCAAGTCCATGATCGACCAATACGAGCTCCGCGAGTTGCACTTTCATTCCCAGATGCGCACCAAGGAACTCGAGGTCCAGTATAACCTCGCCAGGTTTGAGCGCGAGAAGAAGAACTACGAGGCTGAGCTCACCCGGTCACGCCAGCTTAATGCGCAGGTGCAGACATTTTCCCAGACCGAATCGGAACTGAGACACCAGCTTAACGTGTATGTGGAGAAGTTCAAGCAGGTATGTTGTCCCTTCTCGCCGGCCACCCAGGGCGTGTTGGAGTAACATGGTCGCACAGGTCGAGGATACTCTGAACAACAGCAATGAGTTGTTTATGACTTTCCGCAAGGAAATGGAGGACATGTCCAAGAAGACCAAGAGGCTGGAGCGTGAGAACGAGACTCTGAAGCGGAAGCATGACCAGGTCAACAGCAACATCTTCAAGATGGCCGAGGAACGTACCAAGAACCTTAGCGAGGTTGAGGATTTGAAGAAGAAGGTGGACAAGCTGAATGGCATTATCCGGCAGATGCAGCAGCAGGGCCGTGGCATTCCCCAGGGTCTCACCAACCCTGTTGAGAATGGGTACGCGGAAGGCGACCTCGAGGGTGACGAGAGCGAGTATGAGGATGAGTACGACGAGGGTGAGGAAGATGAGGAGGTCAGCGATGATGGGGACGAGTACGATGATGAGACCGAGGACGAGTCGCAGCAGCAGCAGCAGCAGCAGCCTCAGCCTTATGGCCCCGAAAGACCTCCCCCTGCCCCCGCGGCCACCACTACCACTAACGGTCATCGCTAGGGAGTATGTCGGATAGTGTGGCAGTGAATTATATGCATCTTTCAGCGGAACAAAAGTGCGATTCTCCCCTCTCTACTTGCTGACTGACGTTGGTGGGCAGTAACTTTTGTACAGTGATGAATTGGTCCATATGCTGTGTCAGTATGTTTGTACTGCCATTTGAAATCGGTCCTGGCCGGGTCGAGTCAAATAGTTTGTTTGGGTCTTTTGAGTTTGATGATATCATCATGAGCAAGACTTGAGAGTTATGCACCAATTCGACGCCATATCGTTCTAAACATCTCGCATTACTACCATTGCCCGAGCTTTATGCATATATAGAGTAGATCTACCCCACCAAAGCATCACTTGCTTCAATCCGGTTCCACTTCTTGCTGCGAGACACTGCATTGTGCCGAGACTCTGTCCACACTTAGCTGTTGTGGCCCCCATATGGGAGAGAGAGCCAGAGCCTGCCGCCGACTTTCCTGCTGGCCTGCCTACATGCGCTCTATCGTTTTGCTGTTGAAGCTGCCATTCTGAAACAGTGGTTCCCTTTCTTTCTTTCTTTCTTTCCTTCTCTTCAATGTTCACCTTTTGCGATCCTGGATCTTCATTCCTCGACGACCGCGCCAATTAGTAATTCGGGCCAGCGTGTACTGTACCTACCGTAACCTGAGATAGACCTTACCCTATTCTGCCGCCTCCCCAACCCTGGCTTGGAACGAACCGAACCCTTTGTTTGCGCGCGCCTTGCGACGACACAAACTCCGTTCCTGGATTTTTGACGACGGGGCTGTTTTTGTTCTTCCTTATTACCATCTATGATTCCTCCGATTGCTTTCGATCCATCGATGCCGATACAACAAAAGATTGTTTGCGCCACTAGGCTGCGGCGACGGTTTTCTTGAATCATTCGCTGCTGCGCGCCAGGAGGTGTGGTTTATGTTGGAGAGAGAAAGGACAGAGTTGCGAGAGGGATATCATCATCGTCCGGGTTGGATAGGAAAGGGAATAAATAACTTTCGAATAAAACCAACACACACACACATACACACACACTCAAACCGAAGCTTCTACCCGGCCACTATCCTGGTTCCCCCGATTTTACACAAAGCGAGCCCAAAATGGCCTTCATTCAGGACCCCCGCATGCGCCAGCGCTGGAACCAAATCTCGCACACGACCGAGGCCGTCACCGAGACGGCAGCGGCCAACATTTGGACGTTTGGACACACGTACATCACCCCCTGCCTTGGCTCCATCGGCCAGGCTTTGGACTCGTGCACCTCTGTCTGTCTTGGCGACCGGGAGGACCGCGCGAGACGCGCACGGGAGCGAGACCGTGGCGCGAGGAGGACGAGGGCGGAATACACGTTTGACTTTTATGACGATTGGGATGATTACTATGGTGATGTTGAAGACGGTCCCGACCACCGTGAGAATGGTGGGGGGAGTGGTGGTGGCGGTGGTTGGGGGAGGTGGGGGGTGAATAGTGAGGATTGGGATAGGTTGTTGGCTGGGACGGGTGCGGTGAGGGGGGGGCAGGGGGAGGAGGTTGATCAGCAGCCAAGGAGGAAACGGGGGATGAGTTATGGGACTAGTCGGATAAGGAGGAAGGGGACGGGGTTGGTGGAGGAGGAGGATCCGAATGTGATTCCTAGGACGGCGCCGCTGGGGTTCTTGGGGAGGCTGCCGTTTAAGATTGTGGGGAGTTTGAGGTATAAGCCTTCGGCGGCGAATTTGAGGGAGCACCCTGGTGGTGGGACTTTTGGGAGGGGGGGTGCGGGGGATGAGCATAGGCCTTTGCTGGGGGCGCAGGAAGAGGAGCATGATGGGAAGAGGCAGAGGAAACGGGGAGGGGAGGAGTCGAGTACTAGGACGAGGAGCAATACGACGGAGTCGGGGGACACGAGCAGTTCGTATAGGTCAAGAGGGGATTTATTTCCGAGTGATGGGGAGGGGGATGAGGATGCGGTGCCGTTGGATGAGAATGAGTTTACGGTTGCGCTGAATAGGGTTGGGGTTGATGATCGGAGTAGTAATAGGACACGGAGCAGCAAGGGGAAACGACCTGCTGATAGGGATAGTAAGAAGGGGCTGTCGAGGACGGTGTCGAGGACCACGCTTGATTCAGCGTACACGCCAGACTCAGCGTCGCCTTTTCCGACGTATGAGGATGGGGATGCTGTGCCGTTGTCTATGCAGGAACTGCAACAAGAGGAAGAGCGTGCCAAGAAGGAGGAGGATGAAGAGATTGAGAGGAGGAGGAGGGCAGCAAGCCAGTTGGCGGTGAAGAGGGGTCTGAGTGTGGATGACTATCAGGTTGAGTCTGAAGACCAGTCACCATGCAACATCAACCAGAGCTTACCAAACTCTGACCCTGACGAAGAAACCCAACCTGAATTAGAGGCAAAGATACCAGTGGAAGAACCACAAAAACACCAGCAACAACAAGAGCTGGAATTACCTACAGAACCCAAGAAGATGTCAGAGGTGGATCCGGCGGTTCGGTTTGTGCCCGCGAAGCTGCCTCATTTTGGGTGATCGGACATGATTATTAGCATAGCATTATTACAGAGATGAATGGGGGAGGGAGGGTCATGACAAATGAGACGATAACGATGAATTCAATGTTTGTACAACGTCTTTATGGGATTACTTGGTAGCGAAAAGGTCAACTTCGGTAGGGATTCATGATAGATTTCTAGTGTTTTTATCATTACTATTGATTATTATGAAGCCAGAATGAACCAACTCACCCATCAAAGGCAAATCGGACGGGTTTCAGATCCCTACTTCTTCAACTCCGTCCCCAAGAGATGGATCTGACGTTTCAGCCGGAAGCTCACAATTGCCCTACAGTTGGAGATGCCTCGGCAACATGCCCTTCTTTGAGGCGTCGAGGATGCTTCCCCGCATCTCCCCCCCAGGTTTTGGGTCCTTGGCGGCGCTGTGGGTCCGGGGTAGGGTGGGTTTCCCGCCCTTTTCTAGACCGTTTTGGGGAGGGAGTTCGTTGATGACGGGGTATTGCGGCAGGGGGAGATCGATCTGGCTGGGTTTGTAGAAAGAATATATTTGGGGTAGATCTTTCTCTTTTTCTTTTCCTGTTTTTCCTTTTGCCTTGGGAGATATATCCCACTTGTTTTCAACATTTGTCGGTTTTTACATCTAACACATCTTCGAGCGGGCTCATCTACACTTACACCAACTCACCCACTTTTCTCACTATTCCTACAAGATGGCCTCCTCCGGCCCCATCACCACCCCGCTCACAACCCTCCTGGGAATCAAACACCCCATCCTCCTCGCCGGCATGGCCCGCACCTCCTCCGCCCCGCTCGCCGCCGCGGTCTCCAACGCCGGCGGTTTAGGGGTTATCGGCGGCTTCATGTACACCCCCGACCAGCTCCGCGGCATCGTCACAGAGCTCAAGTCCCTGCTTGCTCACCCCTCCCTCCCCTTCGGTATCGACCTTGCCCTCCCACAAGTCGGGGGCAACGCGAGAAAGACAAACCACGATTACACCAACGGTAAACTCGACGAGCTGATTGATATCACGATTGAGTCCGGAGCAAAACTGTTTGTCTGCGCGGTGGGGGTCCCGCCGAAGCATGTAATTGAACGGTTGCACAACGCAGGGATTCTAATCATGAACATGGTTGGTCACCCCAAGCACGCGGTGAAAGCGTTGGATCTTGGGGTTGATATGGTCTGCCCTCAGGGGGGGGAGGGGGGTGGGCACACGGGGGATATCAGTGGGACGGTGCTTATTCCTGCGGTGGTTGATGTTGCGAGGAAATACAAACCCCAGATGCTCGACGGGCAGAGTGCTATGGTTGTTGCTGCGGGAGGGATTCATAACGGGAGGGGGCTGGCTGCTGCTTTGATGCAGGGTGCTGTTGGGGTTTGGGTCGGGACGCGGTTTGTTGCTTCGGTTGAGGCGGGGTGTTCGGAGCAGCATAAGCAGGCTGTTGTCGAGTGCGGCTTTGACGAGACGGAGAGAACTTTGGTGTTGAGTGGACGGCCGTTGAGGATGAAGACGAATGATTGGGTTAGGGGGTGGCATGCGAAGCCGGATATGATTAGGGAGTTGACCGGGAAGGGGGTGGTGCCGATTGAGTATGATCTTGATAACGGGAATGAGATTGATGTGCCTCATCTCATGGGCCAGGTTGCGGGCGCGATCCAAAAGGTGCAGCCGGCCAGGGAGATTGTCGAGGAGATGGTGGAGGAGGCGGTGCAGATGTTGAGGTTGGGGGGGCAGTATCTTGCCGGAAATAAAGGGTCCAAGTTGTAGATGATAGGGATATGTTTCGGCTGTGTCGTTTTTCAAGTCAATATCAAAGCGTGTAAATTTCTGATCAAGTTCCCCGTACATTTGAATCCTTCTATTCCTGAATTTTGAGTGGATTATGTACAATTAAATCAAGAAAAGTCTATACCCTCCGTATGCCCTCTATCTATGTGTATCCTACAGTATCACTACAAATCCTTTACCACCAGCTTGCTACAACTGCTTCTACTCGAGTACATTCAACTTCCTCCTCACCGGGTTAAAGTCGGTATTAAACTGGTACTTTCCATCCCCAACCATCTTCTCCTCTCTGCTCACGGCCTCCAAGTTGATATCCGTCGCCATCGCGTTCAGGAAATTGCAGATTGGCTTGGGATGCCACCTCCCGCCACCAATTTCGAACCAAGACAGATGCCCGCCAAGAGACGTCGTGCAGAGAACTGTGTAAGGGTTCACGGCGAACTCCTGGTAGGGAATGGCTTCCTTGACGGCAATTGGGTCATCAAGGGCGGAGATGGCCAGGAAGGGGATGCGGATGGCGAGGATGGCGTCGCAGGAGGAAGCGTCACGGTAGTAGGCGTTTTCGGTAGGGTAACCCCATGTGACGGTCTGGACTGCGCGGTCAAACTCGTGGAGGTAGGTGACGTTTTGGACGCGGTCGTAGTCGACGTTGGTGTATTTGAGGATTTGCTCCTTGTGTTGTTCAAAGAGTTTTTTGAGGTTGTCTGGAGTAGTGTTAGGCACTGCGTGTGGAAGAAAAGGGTTAGGAATAACTTACTGCCCATGATCTTGGAGTAGACCTCCTTCCCCAACCATGTCCTCTGAAGCCCCTTGTTTGACACCTCCAAGTCGAAAGGGTTGCTCACGGCAATGGCCGCCTTCAATGGGCAGTTTGCACCCTCCTCGCCAACGTAATTGGTCATGATATTGGCACCAAGCGAGAAACCCACCCCAAACAGAGGTCTGTTGGGAAACATCTTCCTCGCCCACTTAACAAACTGCCTCACATCCCACGTCGCCCTCGCATTGAACAACACCCCCGTCGTCACCTTGCTGTTCGCGCAACCTCTCGCATTAACCACACAAACCTCCCACTCGCCCCCATCCATCACCAAGGGAGCAATAGCATGTCGGAGATAAATCTCATGAGACCCCCCCGAAAGCCCATGCAGCGCTATCAGCATAGGCTTGCTGTCATCAGACCCAATACCAGCAAACTCTTCCTCCGAGTAAAACGCCGTTCTCGGCGGGAGCTCCTCGTCAAAGTCCTTGTGTTGAGGAACAACAAAGTCGACAGCAAAAGTGCCGGCGTAGGTCTTGTGGTCGGCGTCAAAGATCTTTCTCTTGTAGTAGATTTGCGGGCCGTGCTCCTTGACGGCTGTGTACATGGTTTGGAAATGGCCGTTGAAAAGAAGGGGGTTCATCTGACATTTTGGCACGGCGGCCTCGACGACCTTGAGGAGGTCGGTTTGAGAGCCATCTTTCCTGGTTAAGGGCAGGGGGGTGGCCGCGTGGGCAAAGTCGATTTTGGCGCGGCCGAACCAGTCCATAGCTGCGAGGTGCCGTCCGCGACGAGATAGGGCTGTGCGGAGGAGGGACAGTGTGTCGGAGAGACTGGACTTGAGGGGTGAGTGAGCGGGAAGGGCAAAGATGGGTGGATATGAAAAGGTGTGAAGTCCTGGGAGTTCACAGATATAAAAAAGGGACCAGGAGAAGCCAAGACAGCGGGATGGAACCTGGTTGATTTTAGATTGGTGGAGTTCAAGCTCGGAATGGGTTTTCAAAGAGAAACCCGTATTTCGATTTCTATTTTCTATGGAAAGTCCATGGTGGAACAAGGAACAGGCAATCGGGTATATAAAGTCCAATCAATCGAGGCAACATGCAAGTCTTGATTCTGGTCGAGGTCGTTGTCCTGGTCTTGGAAGCTGCAAGTGCCGAGGCACGTTGTGGGGCAACCGTTACTGGTCTCTCAGCCTCGGTGCCAAGATTCAACGTCTCGATATCATATCGATAAGAGTGGTGGAGACCAATGTCGACCGCTTCTGGCCCGACGGTAAAAATATGAGTCTCTTTCTGGTATACATCATGTCAGTCTCTCGCCCCCGCGCAGAAATTGAGTGCTTACACAGGTAGAATGCCCAATATCTAAAGCGCGGGGACTATCCAACATCAGCAGAACACTGCATATTCTGTACAAAAGCTCCTGCCCAATGGATGGCCAGACCGTCTGAAGTTTAGTGGGCCTGCCGGGCTGTCCCGCCATCCAAACGGCGGGGCATTTCGAACTTCAGATCTGTCAGAGAGACCGCTGGGACACTGATTGTATTTAGTAGGAACACCTCTTTGGGCAGGTCCAAGATCTCACTTTCCATATAAATTGAACCAGGACCCAACCCTTGGGTTCAAGAACCCTGATGAACAAGCCACCATTTTGATTCGTCAACCCCAAACACACCAGAAAACCCACCCAGCAGCTACCCCGCCAAAAAACTAGCAACAACTAACAGCCCAAACAGTGCTGACTGCCCATAGCTCCTGTGTTCTACAAACCCATCGGAACAACAGCAGCAGCAGTAGCAAGCAGCCTTGCAGGAAGAGAGGGGTATCTATTTTATCTCGGTATCTTTTCATTTCTTTGCCCGTCGCTTCCAGGCTGAACATCAGCTGGAAACCTGGGGTAGGCACACCCTCTGTCGACCATCATTGGCCTTCTCCCCTTGACGAGGTGGCTAGGCAGCAGACGCCTTATACACCGGTATGTATGTCAGACTCGAGCGCAGTAGCTCAACGCCCCCCTCCTCACCCAGCCACCAATATCGTCTTGTCTTTTCTTTGACTGGTGCCGTCTTCTTGGACATGTGTGATAGCTATCCATATCAGCAGCTGGTAGCGTTACCTTGCGCATTCCTCTTGCCCTCTTGGTTTCTCAGCTGTCCCCTTGCTTCTTTCTAGGCTGGCCACACCACCAGTATCAAGATGCCAGCCTGGTATCGGCTATTTGGGTGGCTCTCCTATGGACTAGGAGCTCTTCATATCACCGCGGGCCTATCAGAAGCGACGATTTGCTATGACCATGAGTATGCTCCGGTCTAACACACTACCTACTTTGCGAAGACGATATACCCGTTGGCCTTCCCATATTGTGCCCTAGTCTTGAAGATCACCGTGTCCCTATTTCCTACATTCATTTGGACTTTTCACATCCTCTTTTTACGACTGGGGCTCTCGCTGACATGATGCTAGCTCCATACCAACTTCCATAACCATCATCAACACAGCCAATATGTCGACCGAGGCTCAAAAACCACGGTTCCGCAAGGTCCAAAGCTTTCAGTCCGACTATGCCCCAACTGGCATCACCCAGTACGTCTCTGAGCGAAGTGGCATGCAGGTTATTGTGGCCGACCGCAAGGGCCCCAAGGTCAACGGCTACTTCACACTAGCCACCGAGATCTTTGACGACTCTGGTGCGCCTCACACATTGGAACATTTGGTCTTTATGGGCTCCAAGAGCTACAAGTACAAGGGCCTGCTCGACAAGCTGGCCGGCAGAGCCTACTCCAACACCAATGCCTGGACTGCCGTCGACCACACCGCTTACACCCTTGAAACTGCCGGGTGGGATGGCTTTGCTCAGATCCTCCCTGTCTACCTCGAGCATGTCATTCTCCCTAACATCACGGATGATGCCTGTGTGACCGAGGTTCATCACATTGACGGCGAGGGCAACGATGCCGGTGTCGTGTACTCTGAGATGCAAGCTCTTCAGTACAGCAGCTCTGAGCTGATGGATCTTCAGGCTCGCCGGTTGCTGTATCCTGAAAATATTGGTTTCAGATACGAGACTGGCGGTATGATGGAGGCGCTTCGGGTCTTGACTCCCAACAGAATTCGTGAATTCCACAAGGCCATGTACCAGCCCCAGAATCTGGCTGTCATCATCACTGGTGAGGCTGACCACGAGGACCTACTGAAGATCTTGGACACGTTTGAGGAGAGCATCAAAGATGATATCCCACCACCAAACCCCAGCTTCAAGCGCCCATTCGTTGACTCTCCCCAACCACCTCCTCTCGAAAAGACCATTGTCCAGACGGTCGAGTTTCCCGAGGAAGACGAGTCCACCGGCGAAATCCTTGTGGCTTTCTTCGGACCCAGCTGCATTGACCAGATCGAGGGCACAGCGGTTAACATCTTGATGACCTACCTCTGCGGCTCGTCGGTCTCCATCATCGAAAACACCATCGTGGAGAGAGAGCAACTGGCTAGTTCGGTTTCGTACTGGTGGGACTCGAGACCAAACTCCGTCATCTGGTTCCAGCCAACTGGTGTTGCCACTGAGAAGCTTGCCTTTGTCGAGCAGCGCCTGGTTGACCTTCTTAAGGAAGTCGCCTCGAAGCCTCTTGATATGAACTATATCAACGAATGCCTCCAGCGTGAGAAGCGCCAAGTGAAGCTCCAGGCGGAATCCTCCGAGCAGTTCTATGCCAGCAACATTATTACGGATTATTTGTTTGGCAAGCGGGACGGCTCTACCCTGAGAGACCTGGAGACCCTGAAGGAGTATGATGTGCTCGAGAAGTGGACTGATGAGCAGTGGCGTGCCTTTTTGAAGAAGTGGATCTCTGACGCCCATCACGTCTCTATTCTCGGAAAGCCATCGCATGAGCTGGCCAAGAAGCTCAAGGCTGGCGAAGAGGAGCGCATCGCCAAGAGGAAGGAGGAGCTCGGAAAGGAGGGTCTCGAGGCTCTCAAGAACAAGCTCGAGACTGCCAAGCAGAACAACGAGAAGCCAATTCCTCCTGAGGTGTTGGATCAGTGGCCAGTTCCTGGCACCGAGTCAATTCACTTTATTGAGTCTTTGACCGCGAGATCAGGAAAGGCTCGTGCCCTTGGTGCTTCGGACAACAAGGCGCAGAAGATCATCGATGCAGCTCCTCAAGGAAAGCCCCTTTTTGTGCAGTTTGAGGATGTTCCGTCCAACTTTGTGCACTTGACGCTTCATGTCGGCCTCTCTGAGACAGCAGTCAAGTACAAGCCTCTTCTTTCCCTCTTCACCGACAACTTCTTCAACTCCCCCGTCATCCGGGATGGCAAGCGTCTCGAATTCGAGGAAGTCGTCAAGCAGCTTGAAAAGGACACAATCAGCTACCACATCAGCTCGGCCAGCAGACTAAGCGATTACGAGGGTCTGGCTATCCAGTTCCAGGTAGACCCGGAAAAGTACACCACCATCATCGACTGGCTGCGCACGCTCATGTTCGACATTGTCTTTGACCCTGTCCGCATCAAGGCTGCCATCGTGAAAGCCCTTGCCGACATCCCCGAGCTCAAGCGCGATGGCCGGACCATGGCTCAGGAAGTCGACATGGCCATCCACTTCCGTCCCGAGGCTTACCTGTCTGCGAAGCGCACCCTCGTCAAGGCGGTCTACCTCCGTCGCCTCAAGAAGCTTCTCGAGAAAGAGCCCGAGACCGTCCTCGGGTGGTTCGAGGAACTCCGCAAGTCTCTCTTTTCGTTCCAAAACCTCCGCGTGCTAGTCACCGCCGACGTGGCCAAACTCTCCAACCCAGTCGCAGCCTGGGACGCACTCACCTCCCACCCCGACCTCAACCCAACCAAGGACGTCCTCCCCATCGTCAAACTCTCGGCAATGCTCAACGAAGAAGGGCAATCCCCTGGTTCGGTAGGATCAGTCATCATCCCCATGACAACCCTCGACAGCTCTTACTCCGTCTCCACCGCCACCGGCCTGTCTTCCTACTCCTCCCCCCTCCTCCCGGCCTTCCTCGTCGCCCAAGCCTACCTCGAAGCGGTCGAGGGCCCGCTCTGGAACGCCGTCCGAGGCAACGGTCTTGCCTACGGGGTTTCATTTTCGAGGGAGATAGACGGTGGATACCTCCAGTTCAAGGTTTACCGCTCCCCCGACGCCTCCAAGGCCATTGAAGCCTCCCGCGCGACGGTTGCGAAGTTGGCCTCGGGCGAGGAGCCGCTGGATAGGCACTTGATCGAGGGTGCGGTCAGCTCGATTGTGTTTGGCGTGGCGGACGAGCAGTCTACTATGACGGCGGCGGCGCAGCAGAATTACATGATTTCTGTCGTTCGCGGGTTGGAGCAGGGGTGGAACAAGAAGATTCTGGCTAGGGTGAGGGAGGTGACGGAGGAGGAGATTAGGGAGGTGATGAGGGAGGTGATCTTGCCGGTTTTTGAGCCGGGAAGGAGCAATGTTGTTGTTACTTGTGCGCCGATCATGGAGGAGGTGAGTTTTCCCCTTGCCCCTGTCTACCTACCAATGGGATATGATTGCTGATGAAAATGTTGTAGAATATCGTCAAGACGCTGGGTGAGAGGGGTTACAAGACCCAGGTTCAGACGCTTGCTCACTTTTATGATGACTATGGTCTCAAGGCTGATGAGGAGGATGGTGAGGATGAGGAAGAGGAGGATGAAGATGAGGATATGAGCGCTGGGTCGTATGAGTCTGGTTTGGAGGAGGAGGATGATCTCTAGAGGGAGTGTTCTTACTAGACCGCACAAGAAACAAGTTCAGGTAGAAAAAGAGGGGGGGGGGGGAGGGGGGTTATGAATACATCAATACTTTTCTTTCTTGTTGACAATGCTAGTTTTTTTCTGTCTCTGCACAAAAGTAAACTCAGTGCCCACTTCTAACAGGCAGGTAATGATAATCCCTAACCGATTACTGACCAAACCCAGCTGTGAAAACAAAAATCCCAAACGCCAATGCTATGCATATTTTTATGCCTCTGACACCCAATACCAAGGGCCAACAACAAAAAACCACCCCTTCTTCTTCTCGTCTATTCAACCCCTCAAAACCCGTCTCGACATCCCCATCAAAGCCTCCACCGCCCTCTTCGCCGCCTGCTGCTGCTGAGCAGTCTCCTGATCCCTCGTAATAGTCAAATTCCCCAACTCGCACCAGTTATTCACAGGCTATAATCTCCAGTCAGCATCTTCTCCCCATCATCCCCCCCCAAAACCGAGGAAGACTTACCAAACAACTCAAATACTTACACCACCCACAAACCTTGTGATGAATATAAAAATTATTCAACAACAACACAAACACCACCAGCACCAAAATCAGCGCCCCCACCCGAATCAACCACCACCCCCACCAAAGCGGCTTCCTCCCCTTGAAAAAGCCCACGGGATTCTTAAAAAACGGTGGCACCGTCCCCTCCTTCAAAAACCCAGACGAAACTTGACTGTTGGCATAGGGAACCTCCGACTCCCCAATCCTCCTCCTCAACGAGTTGGGCGAGTGAAGGATACAAATCCCCAGCGCCAACCCCATCAAAAACCCGCCAATGTGACTGAAGTTGTCCAGACCGGGCAAGAGACCCAGGACAAAAGAGATGATGATGTCGATAAAGAGGTACATCAGGTCCTTTGTGGGATTCACCCTGTCTTTCCAGCTGTACAACAGGTCCAAAAAGGTGAGTGCGATAATCCCGAATAATGAACCTGATGCGCCCGTGCTGGCGATGCCAGTCGCGGCAAAGTTACCCCCCATGACGAAACCAAAGATGCCGGCCGACATGTACACTATAAAGAACCGGATCGAGCCAATGTGTTTCTCCATGTCCCTTCCGAGTGTGAGTTGAAGCAGCATGTTGAAGCCGATATGGATCAGACCGGCGTGCAAAAAGATGGGGACGATGAATCTGAACCATTGGTTCGGTTCCGGCGGTTGGCCCGGCTGCTGGACACCGCCGAAGCCGCAGAGCTCCGAGAGGGTGCATGTGTTCTCGTTGGTGGTCGACCAGGGGCAGGGCCACGAGACGGGTCCTTCGGCTTCTTGGATGGCCTTGACGTTGTGCATGCAGGGGACGAAGCGGGCGCCCATGTTGATGAGGATGTAGGGGGAGGGACCGATCATGGGGTTGAATTGGGGTTTTATCATGATTGGGGAGCCGGTCGAGGTGCCTGATGAGGGGTGCGGGGAGGTTAACAATGTTGATGAGAAGGGGGAGGGAGATTAAAAAAAGGCGGCATACCATTCTTGACCAATTCACCGATAAAAACTGCAACTTGAACAATAGTAAAAAAATACACCACAAACGGTATCTTCTTCTTTCCCGACCCCAGCATGCCCAACTCCCCCAACCTCACCCGCCCTTTGCTTGGTGGTTTGTTCGGCGGCTGGTGGTGCTGCGACGACGAAGTATCATAGACGTGATCCTGCATCTCGATGTGTTGTCTCGAAGGGTGCTTCTGCATGTTGTCCTGCAGCGGGATGTCATCTGGGGCATGATTGTAAGCAGGCATTTCATCAGAGGGCACCCGCGAGAGGGGGCGGTAGCTCGTGTCTTGCTGACTTAGGCGGCGCGCTTGGTGGCTAGAGGATGGTGCTGCCGGATAGACATGATCGTCGAAGACGGTTTCGAAAGGTGAAGGAGACACACCTTGCGCCGCCGGCGGCCGGTCCTTCCCAGGTCCAACGAGATTGTGGTGGGAGCTGTAGGCCGGGGCGGGCGCCGAGTAAGCAGAGGGGGATTCTGTTCGGTATTGGTCGTTGCCGCCGTAGTACTGATTGTCAGCTCGGGACGTCTGACTGTAGTATTCGTTGGAAGCCATGACGGGCTAATTCTTTTGGGGGCTGGCTCCCGAGCGTAATAAACAGCGGCAGGAGAGCCTGCAGGTGGTGGTCGCAAAAGAGGGTTCGTAATGATCGGGAGGAGGTGGTTTCGTGTAAACGAGGGGTTTTGTTGTTGCAAAAGGAACAATACAAATGAGCGACGGGTGGTTACAGCGAGCGAACCCAGGCCCGGTTTGTTCGTTGGTTTGTTATTTTTTTTTGGTGGTTTTGGATGTTCGATTGACAGGAGGAGGAATTGGGAATCTGGCGATTGACAGGCGGATCCCCTTCTGTTGTGTTTCGGCACAGCGGGAGCAGGGATCTCCGAGTGTCTGGGGTTTGGGGATCAAGAGGGGAAATTGCGTCGCAATATGTTCCCCAAATGTTCCCACTTTCTAGCGTGCCCACCTCTAGATTTCTTCCACCTTGATGATGATATCCAAGTGGCCTAGGTAAAATGCCTAACCGGTCGTCTCACTGCTGCAGCTGCCGAGAAGGTCGAGTGAAGTTTAAATGTTGATATGGCCGTGGTGACAATGGTGCATGTCATTGACATGTGGTACGCATGGAATGAATCAATGATGAAGAGATGGGACCTGGAATGCGCAGATGCTAAGAAGGGAGAAGAAGAAAATAAATCGTTCCTTAAGAAAGTAAACCAGGTTTCCAGTTTTATCAGGCGATCAGGCGCCGTCACGAAGACCTTGTGTGATCAAATCAGTGGGCTCAGCTTCAAGCTTTAAACGACGCGGCCACACACGCTGACGTCTCCCCCCGCCAAGGTCTCCAACCAGCCGGCGCGGCAGTGGGACAGTAGGGTCCGGAGATCAGTGGAGCAGACGGCGGCTGTGCTCAATGCTTCTTGAACCTTTGCGCGTGTTCACCAGTCCATTTATTCGTATTTTTCTGCTTGGGATACTGGAGGCCGCCACACTTGATACTCAGACTCTTGACATCCGATCATTGGGACTCGTTCTGTTTTTGGAAACATGGCCATACCTCAGCATCTTGCCGCCCAAAGATCGGATGGTCCAGGGCAACCTGTGTCCCCGTGGGGTTTCATCCTAAGCTTTTATGACGAAAACTGCCGGGTTCTGGCAAACGACTGTGCTGATCCCCCTTTCAGACAGATTCCCGTGCCTTACCTGGTCATCCAGACTGGCTTGCCAAGACCCGTTCATCCAAACTAAAATCTGGACTCGAATCAAGAACTGTCTTGCGAAGAGACAGCGAACCTCTCCAAAGGATCTTCTTCAGCCGCAGAGGTGACGTATTTCGGAGCACCAGCCTCGTGCTCCCCCAAAGCCTCGAAGACAAGCCCACTTGCCATTACCCCGGGACAAAGTCCGAACCCTGATGAGGAGAAGGGAGAACCAAGCTTTCGGGGCCCATCTTCATTACCTTAATCGGTGCCGACGGCGCAGTTGCCATTTGATGGACACTTCTCCTGGCACCCTTTTACAAATGAGGGCCGTGATGAACAAGCCAACATGTGTTTCGGAGAGCTAGGCATCTCTAGGAATTAGTTCTCTAGTCATAAAGCTCTGTCTAGTCCAAGAAACTGATGCCTTTGGTTGGTGGTTCCTTGCTCTGAGCAAGGTTGATGGATGCCAAGCATGCCGATAAGATAAGGTTTGGACCCACATGTGTTTCTAGAGTATTCGCAACCGCGATGCGACAGGATGCGCCTGCCTCCAATTGACTCTGAAAAGAAAGCTCCTTCCTTCAAGAAACACAACCAATTGGCCGCGAGACTTTCTTCGGCCGTACCCTTGACCTTCACCTCAACTTTTAGTCATCAGAAAACAGCTGTAATCTCTTTCCATCAACAGCAACCTCGCCTTTGAAACCTTCACCATGTCGAAGAGCAAGATCGCCAACAACAGGGCCAGGGCCAAGGCGGAGAAGGAGGCTAAGAAGTAGGCTAAGAATAGTGCGAGGAAGCTGAGGAGGGAGGCTGCTGCTGCTGCGGCGGCGGCTGGAGGGGAGAAGAAGTAGAGGGTAGTGGGAGTTTGGAATGTGGTATCATTTGCCGTGAGACAATCGGCAGTCGTTTCGAGGCACAATGGGAATCAGCAGCTATGATTAATACTCGATGGTATTATGGGACATGTTTCTAGCTGTTAGTGTCAACAAAGCAAGCACCCTTTAAGCAGAATGAAAAGAGGTGCCAAACATGAATACAAATTTTGTGGTAGTCTCGAGTCATTATGTTGAATGTGATATATATATACAAGGATCTTTTCAACGCCAATCAAAGAGCAGATCCCGCCAAAAAGCCAAGAACCCTTCCTACTCATACAATGGTTTTACAGCCCTGTCATCATCCCCTTGCAAGCCCCTCGTTCTGACTCAGATTACTATGATACCACTTAATCGTTCTTCTTCTCCTCCGGTTTCTCCTTTTTCTCATCGTCCTTCTTTCCTCCCCACCCAAAAACCTCATAGATCTGCTCCATAATCAAATCCCCATACCCCTTCCCTTCTTCCAGCGCTTTTTTTTCTTCTTCCATTCTTCTCTCTTGCCACCCGTCCTTTTCACCCCCCATCCATATCTTGGTGATGACACCCTTTTTCTCCTCCTCCTCTTTTGCCTCTGTTGGCGGCTTACCCTCAGCTAACCTCCTCCGCTCCCTCTCCTCCTTGATTAGCTGCTTTGTCCGCTGGGCTTGTTCGGGAAGGGGGTTGAAGATTGAGTTTGATGATTGGGAAGAGGAGGAGGAGGAAAAGAGGGAGTCGAGACGGTCGTTGGTGCGCTTGTAGATTGACTTGCCGGTGTAGTCGTGGG